AATGTATCACAAGCAGACTTACTATCGTTTCATTTCAGCTTCAATAAAATCAGTTATTCAACTGCATTGTTCTCATATTTTTCTCTTCCAATTTACTTTCAGAAGTACTCACTTCAAGAGTGATTGCACTCTTTTTATGGAAAGTAATTAAGTCATACGCATACGCACGTGAAGGGACATTCTGTAACTGAGTATTGATACAGTAGCAGTTTGCACAATGCTAGAGTTAGATGCGTCAAATCCTCTTGATTTGATTGATAAATTTGATCTGGAACAAATATGTCTTTTTATCAGTAAATGCTTTCAACTTATTTTGCATCCAATATTCAAACTTTTCGTTGCAAATAATTGTCCACAACGTTTGCGCTAAGTAAACACTCGCTTCTTTTATATTATTCTTATTCTAGGCCATTTATAAAAGCAATAATCGTTTCAATCTGTCTTCGACATTAATGTAAAGGTCAGAGTTCACCTCTTGGTCTAACATAAGTCAGTATCCAATAGTAAGAAAAAACGCTTGAGCGAAAATTTTTTTTCCATATATCTCAGTTATAAAGTAAGTAAAAATTTCGTATGAGTAAAAGCTGTTTACAGTAATCACTTTGACAAAGACTTTCACTTTATTTGATCTCACGTTCAACTCTCCTGTAGGATGCAATGTAAACACGGTATTCGATGCACCGAACAAGAATGCTTATTCTCGCCTAGTCATTGGTCTTCAAGCTTCAAATCCCCTCAGATGGTTAAATTTAATAACTTCTTCTGCTAAACAAGGTTGTGATTGATTAATTTTGCTATATTATATTATCAGGTCATACAGTCATTTATCACTTGTATGCAATGTTGTTATCAGAATAACTTGCGCAGCATTCATCTACAACAAGCTATACCATATGGAGGTGACCCCCTTTCTTTTAAGCTCTTTCCTACTTCATGGACATGTTTGTTCAAAATTTACTGTCTCACTGAAAATTATATTCTTATTGAAACTTGTAACTATGTTACAAGTTTCGTTATGATCTTTTCACACTTTTAAAGTGTATTATACTGAAATCAAGTGAAATATGAATGTGTGATGATTTTTGGATTGATGAGTGATTCTACAAAATAATTTAGATTTTTAGATGGAAATCAAAAGATTGATATTTGGGGAGACGAAAATGAAAGTAATGCTGGCATCGTATTGCTTCATGGTGGATACTGGAAAGTAAAACAATTCTTAACTGTAGAATGATAGAGACAAAGTTTTTCGGTTTCTGTATAGTTAGAAAATCGGAATGCATTATATTCAATTATTCGTCATTGAAGATTCTTTATCGTTATAAGAATGATTATATAAGTTTTTCATAAAAAATTTTTATAAATTTAAAATAAATTTTAGGAAGGAAGTCGAAAATTGTTTACAAGTCCTGTGAATTTGCTCACTAATGAAGGGTTTGTGGTGGCTTGTGTTGGTTATGATTTTGCTACTGTAATTCCATTGCGTGAGATCATAATTCAAGTTAGGAAAGCATTTATAGTAAGTGTCACTTCGTAAAGATTATTAGAGTACCGAAATCTTGTGCATTCTTGAATTGTTTTGATAATCGAATCTTCTTAGTTTTTTATCTGCACTTCATTTAGGAATTATAATGCATTTTTTTAAGTTAATTCTTTTTCAAAAGTTTCTTGCTGGACGTTGGTCATCGAAGAAATTATTGATTGCAGGACATAGTGCTGGAGCGCATCTGGCCATTGCTGGTAATGATTATTTTAAATGTGATTTTCAAATTAAGTACGTAAAGTGCTAGTAAATTTGATAATGCTTTGCTCTGAAAAAATTATCGAAAACTGCAGTTTTTGATGCCCACAATGAATTAAAGTTGAATAAATTTTTTTGTTCTATCACCTACCAATTTTTCTTGAAAATTCAATTTCTTCATACACATTTTGTTTATTTTTTTAGCATTGCTCAGCATGGAAAATACAAGCCTATATGAAAAGATTGTACTCTTCTCGGGTATTTACGATCTTTATCCTCTTGTAGGTACTTATATTGGAAATGATATAAAGTAAGAATACTTTTAATTATATTTTCCAACATATTAAGTTAATTGTTAACCATTTACAGCTAGTATAGGCTTAAGAATAGTAAAAAGATTTGAAAATATGTTTGAGAAGCAGTAGGCCATTTTATATTTTAGGTATTTACTTAACCTGCGATAGAATCTTGGCATAATTTGTGCAGCTATCTTCTGAAGCTTTGTAAATGCCTTTTAGCTCTTGTTCGGAGCAATTGTACGACTTCTATTAAGAAATGTGAAAGAAGTAAGGAATTAAAAACATGATGAAGGAAAACAGTAGAAATCATACTTAATATCAAAAAGCATATACAGCAATAAATTCTAAATCTTAGGAACACAGCTGCAAACCGTAAGTGCATTACACAGGCGCTATGCTCATAATGCAGAAAATATTCAAATTTAGCATTTTAGTTTGAATTGGAGAGAAGCTGAGATTGCAAGCACTGTTAATTTAGATGGATTATCCGCCAAGCTGTTAGCGATTGTTGCAGCTGAAGAATCACCCAAGTTCATAGAACAAAGTATGCGTATTGTACAAAACTACTTAAGAAAACGTCCTGCATTACAATTATATGATTGCTGCAAGGTAAGTTTAATACTAATTGACACGTAATTCGAAGAGAAAAAGAATCTTGCGTAATATTCCTATATTTGTGACATCGCTAACAATGTTTAGCAATATTTATTTGCTTTATGAGATGTTAGTTAATAAATAAATTGTTTAATTTATGATTATTATAGATAATTTCAAATGTGGATCATTTCTCGCTGATTACTTCTCTCTCTGACTCAGATTCAGAGTCAAGCAAAGCATTGCTCCATTTTATACAACAGAAGCATTTATTCTAATCTGTTGGCAATCATACTGCTCGACAAGATGCCACTGCAAGAGTGGAGAACTTATTACTGAATTTCTTTATTACGATCATAGCACATATTGGAATTACTTTACTTGAAACAGCAACATTTAGGCAGGTAAAACATGAATAAGCTGCTGTTCGCTAAAAGTAGAACGCATGCAAGTCAGTACTAATTTTTCCAGTATTATATAGCAGTTTCATGAGTTTTGAAAATGTATGATTGACTTGTGTATCGTAACTGGGAGATTCTTTGCAATTATTTTGCTTATTTTTGCTTTCGTCATCATTTCACCTTGTTTTGGGAGCAAATCAATTTCAGTCAAGGTTGTCGTCGTCGATGAATGTCATTTTTACAAGATGTTTTATGAATAGTACTGTTTTCTGATTTTTGCATAAAGTTATATCTTATAAAAGTTAGAATTACCATGATAGAATCATTTTCGTAACACAAATCTGAAGAAACAGGATAAAGCAAGTTATCCTAAGAGAGAGCTGTTATTAATTGGTAGCTGTTCTTAATTGCTTTAAAGTTATGAATTACTTTGGATCATTGTCAATAATTTGATCTATAAATTAATAAAATTTGTCAGTAATTCGATCTACCTATATCATATTTGATTTATAAATCTATAAAAGGCACGATTTTGAAAAAGTTTTAGTATGGTAGAATTTTTTAATGGATGGCTTTGACTTTGCAGATAAATATATAATTTTGTTTTGATAAATGAAAAGTTGACAGATGAATATGAGTTTTGTTTCCATTTCTGGACTTTTTTTTTTCAGAATAATTCACAATTTGATGGTGTTCAGTATGGTTATGTTGGCTTTGCAACAATGTTGCACAAAGAAATCAAAAAAAGTGGTTAATGTACGTCTTTTGAATCAGTTGGTGTCACGGGGTATCAAATCCGTAAAACATGAAGTAATTTTCATATGAAGTAATTTTTTCCGAAAACGCTTTAAACAAAGCAAAACTTGTTTTATACAGGGCATCAGTGATCAAAAAAAGATTGATAAGAAGCAAAATTTTACAAGAAATATGTCGGTAGATAATAAGAAAGATTCTCTCGAAAACAAAAAACCAGTAAAGCGATTTGCAAAGCGTTGCGCTGAGGTAAGTGTATGTCAAAAATTGAGGTTCATATTTTTTGAGGTCATTTAGTCTTACAAGATTTGCTTGATAGTTATTAACAGTAGCGGCTAAAAATTTAATGAATTTGTCACTTCGAACTGGTGCATTTCAAAAATGGATTATTTGTAAGCAGGTTTTGTATCTTGTAAATCCAACTTGACTTCTAAGGCATGAATTTTGCGAAAATGTCATGTTTCTTAATAAGTTTCTTCAGTGAATTGTAGATTCGATCAAAAGCACCAGTTGACAGAGAACGTGAAGACTATAAAACATTCAGAGATATCAAAATACATTTAAGTGACGTTGATTCTTCGCCAGTATAAATGTCTGCTGTGTTCCAAATAATTTTTTTTTTCTTAACATAATGTGGAATACAAAACTGCAAGTTGTTTTCAAATAAATAATACAGTCTTTACAGCTTTTGCACAAATTTTGTCGTAACATTTTGTGACAAAAAGTTCGTCACGTGTTAGTTCTATACGTGTTGTCAAAATATGTTGACGCGATAAAGTACAAAAATGTAAGTATTATGATCAAAACTTGATAAATAACACGACTAAGAGATATAAGTCAATAAAAAAGTATTTTTATGCAGATATTTCTTTGTCACCAACGAAGCACATATTTCCTAGTGGATATTTGTTTTAACTTCTGAAAGCTTTTGAATGAATTCGCAGAAAATATGAGGAATGGAAAGCTCAAAAGTTTTCGCTTTCCGCGCATCATATGTGTTTTATATAATGATTTTGTTAAGACACATAAAAATGTTATCCTTGTTGTGGAGAACAGTTAATGACAGCGCAAAATGTAAGAAAAAATAGATGAGATTGTACAGCAGAACGTGCACGAACGACACGAAAGTAGCCAGTGCAAGAACTGTGCTTGCCTGGACAGAAAACTGAAGGCTGAATCCACACAGCTTGAAGCTAACATCAATGTGCTATCCCAGCAACCCTGATCGCTTAATAGCTGGAATAAGCACACGCTTTTTTACCTCACGTATCTTGCAAACAAGCTAAATTCACTTGGAAATGAACAACAGAGCAACCGCTAATTTGAATAGTTAGAAATGGCATAATCCATCAAAGTCTCACCCAGTTTGAAAATAAATTAACGACAGTCCACCTAACAAACGGATAAATGTTAATCTGTGTGCTATTAATGGGATCTACATCATTTTTATTCAGTACAAACAAAGTCAAAACACATGCCAAAATATGCAATATATATATTTGCATAAGTTAATAAATATTATAAATAGCATACAGAGCGTACTTCAAAAAATAAAATATCATCAAGTACAAAAATTTTGAAAAAACAGATGGATTTGACATCAATCAGTAATAAGAATTAAAAAAAATAAATACCCGCACTACATCACTAATGATTTTTTGAGCATCGTTTG